CACTCTGTGCTGATAGCTGAGATTAGACCCTTTAGTAATGGATTTTTGTGTGTTGGGGGAAGGGGAGGCCTTGGCAGAGGTAAATGTACCGGAAAAGAATCTTGGAGAGACTCTGATGTATCTGGAGTGCCTGCTGCATTTCTGTGTGTATTGGGAGATAGATGTAAAGTGTGACAGTATTGGCTTTATCAGTACAGGGGCCTTCTCTTCTTGCCTTTGAAATTTTACCAAGTACTAACATGGGTCACCTCAATCAGTCTAGCACCTGGAGTTGTAGTGGTTTAAGTATTTTTACATCTTCTGGCTTTTCATCTTGCTGTTAAGAATATCAGATCCCTTCTGTTCAAATTTGATCAAGAAATCTCTCTAAACTTAAATTGCATATGAACAGTTTTGTCTCAATCGATCATAAAAGTGAATGGGTTTATTTACTAAATTGGGTTTAGAGGGTGATTTGAGAGCATAATGTGAAAAGCAGGTCGGAAACATGCAGCAGAAATGTTCAGGGCATGACTCGCTGTGACTCCCTGGTTACTTCCTTTTCTCTGCAGGTACGCAAAGTCCTCCAACGACACGTGAATGTAGGATTGCTTAGCAGACACTGGAGTTCACTAGCACAAGCAAGGTTGCTGCTGTCCGTTGATTTTTATACTGTACAGTAAATGCATTCGCCCTACAAGTGTTGATAATAAGGCATCTTTTGTCTGTTTGGTCAGTGGAGTCGAGATTGCCTGCTGTTAGCCAACATCATTGAATTACCAGTAATATTTCAAGCCTTTTAAAAACATGTTTAAATCCATTATTCTTCTTCAGAAAATAAAACCAGATTTTATTTTGTGCTGTGGGCAGGAGTCTGAAGTTTGAAAATTGTAAAACAACTTCTTGCTCAAAGGAGGAATGACTTGCAATTTCATGTGAAATATTCCTCGTTTTATTCTTCATCTTGAATAATCATCTCTTGAATTGAAAAATATTTTAAACTATTGCTTTTATACTTGATGCAGTGCATTTCTAGGGCTTTCTTAAAAGAAGTGATTCAGCTCTGTCTGTACAGAGGTGGTAGATCTCCTGTTTCTCAGGCTAGAAAGTATACAAATCAGTCTCCTCTAAGGCAGCCGGATTCCTCCTTTAATTTCAGAGTTCTTAATAAAATTATTCTCCATTTGGGTCTTAAAACTGGGTATTATTATGAACAAAGGGTTCGGGGATGAGGCTGTTGACAGATAGCAAAGGAGAACAGCGCTTCAAAACGAGGGGGTAGCAGGTTTCACCCTGTGTTTTTGCATGTTCTGTGCAAGTTTACTCCATGGTGATATTATTGTTTTGTATAAAATTTAGGTCTGTACGTATGTATAACGTGCAAGCCCTTTTACTCTGTGGATATAGGTAGATACATTTATGCATAGAGAACATACATACAGTAACGAGTTATATGTTAACCCGTTTGCTACAGATGGTAGCAGTCCTTCTCTGCATGTTGACTTTGGAGGATCTCCAGACAGGGTCTGTGGGTTGAGTCTGTTCTGATACCGATAAGCCTGACTTTCCCCAGTAGTTGAGATGAGGTGTTGAAGCCATCCATCTAAATACATGTTGTAAGATTGTTTGCCTTTCAAGTTCGGAGGTAGTTATCTGTAAGTAATCACTTGGGATGAAATCTTGGCCCTTGGTCACTTCTTAATAAGATCGTTATTAAGGCAGAGTGCCCGTTACTTTAATAGGGTTGAAACTCTGTTCTGGGGTTAAGTAAAACGAATTTGCCATCAGGAAGAAAGAAGTGGTGAGGAGCTGGTTGTTTGAAATGTCATTTTGTTAATTTGGATGTGTTGGTAGCTTGGTGTGCTGCACTAAAATTAGATTGTATAAATAAGCAACCTTGCTCTCCTCAAAAGAAAATGGATTAAAAACATAATATAAAATCCCACTTAGCAAAAGGGTGTAGGTTTAAAATCTGGTTTAATAGGTGTACTATAAAACAAGTGTCACACTGAAATGAAGAGCGACGGGTGGAGAGTTACAGTGATGATACGAGAACGGTTTTGAATGTTTGAAATTTCACTGTTGGAATAAGCCTGTCATCTTCAGCCACTCTTAAAATGTGGTTTGAAAGGTCAAGTAGCCTTCAAGAAAGCCCCCCAAAATTGCAGTAAGTATTTTTCTCGGGCTATCTTTTTTCCTTTCTGCCTCTAAAAGTGAACACTTAGGGAGTTACAGATAAAGCTTAGCGTGGTGACTGTGTCAGGGGACTGCCCGAGGAAGGCTTTAAATTTTACAGCTACATTATCTTTTCTGGCCGTAGTTAAGATAAAGATCTAATATAAAATCACTTTGGACTGTAATGCTTTCCCTAAATGAAATGAAGGCGTTAACCTACTTGATTTGATACACTTTACCCTAGCTTATAAACCTGGGAGGAAGGTGAGGTAAACTTTAATTAAAACTACAGCACAGATGCCTTCTAGCACCGTGCCCGGTACCTTGCTAGGACTGTACAGTAAGCAAAATAAAATGTACCTCGCAGCCGAGGCAGCAGGCTGGAGCCGCGTTCAGTGAAAGTAATTTAATTAGTGTTGATCATGACTCCAGATGATGGTGATTTGATAAGGAATAATTTAGTACTTAACAGCCTTTTACATGCACCAACTCCATGTGGGAAGGTAAAGCAAATTGCACAAAATGAATGTGCTGCTTTCACTTGTGCCTGTGCCAGTGAGCTGGAAAACTGCCTGTTAGCAGACGTTCAGGCTCTCAGCGCTGTGATGAAATACCCAGCCAGTTCTCCGCGCAGGGCTGTGGTGTGGGAGTTTCTGTACTCCCGTTATTTAAAAATAAATAAGGGAAGTAATTTTTCATAACAGATTAACTCCGAGGAAGTAGCAAAGTTAAAATTTAAAAAAAAAAAAAGTTAAGAAATAGAGCAGCATGCGGTCTTTGTGCGAATATGTGATACTGGCTTTAAAAAAGAGGCTCGTTGCAGTTGTGTTTTTATTCTCTGATTCAAGCCAGAGAGATTGCCTGCCTTTGCGTCGGAGCCACCGTGCTGGAGTTGTGGGGCCCATCATGCGCGTTACATGTGCAGCGTGCATTATCTGCCCAAGGCATGCAAGGAGAGGCAGCAGTAAAAACTCACTAGCAAAAACCCGACACAAACTGCTGGAGGCCAGCCCGTGTCGCGATCGCGGTGGAAAGCTGACTGGGCTGCATTTTGCCATATTACTAAATTTGAGAATCTTTACTCAAGAAGTCCATATGGTCTTGTATTTTAGTGCAAGTTCAGACGGTTTTATTCAGAAAGAGTTCTTTCCTTGTGACGTTCACCACTTTTCATCTCTGTTTCTTAAGTTACTGTGCTGAGCGCATGTATTTGTGTACTTGTTTTACCGTCTGCTTTTCCTTTGTCATCTTTCCAGGTAATTGGCTATTATCCACCCAATATAGTAGCTAGGTAGCGGTTTTAGAGGCAAGTCTTGTGGGTTTTGCGAAAGTACGTGTCAAAATAAGATACTGCTATCTCGCGGATGCCTCGACTGAAAGGCACTGGTAGAAGCTGTCATGTAAGAGGGTATGAGAGGACCCATTTGCGAAAGGATTGTCTGAACGTTACCCAACCGTGGGAAAACCTGTGGTGAGGATCTGGAATCCAGATCTTACAGATACTTGTAAACCAGAGTTTGTTGGTTCTGCTGCTCACTTCTTAGACAGCATTTCATTTGCGTCCCCACCGAACACATGCGATCCTGTGCAGGTGCGTTAGTATCAGAAAATACATCATGCGTAACAAATTGTCTTTCCTAAGTTCAGGTGCAGGGGAAGGGGAACGATGCTACTTGATGGTATATAATAATGGCCTGATTTTGCGCTGAGGTTCTCTAACAGGGACTGCTGCACGTACGTGGATTTCTGCGGAGGCGCAGGTGTCTGTGTTAGGCTGGAGTGTGATGTTCAAGCTACGGTGTTCTGGTGACAACATCGAAAATGGGTGATTAAAATTGATCTACTAACTCTAGGCATCAAAAATATTCTTACAACTTCATTTTATTTAAAGCTGGAAGGGTGTGTTTTCAAGCTGTTAAATACCTGTGTTTTAGACCTGTGTCCTCCTAGCCACTTTACTTTAGATTTGCTTATGTGAGGCGAACTTTGAATTTTCTTCTGCTTTGATTTTGGTTAAGGTTGGATATGAAATAAGGAAAGTTGCCTGGCTCAAACTAATATGCTGGTTAACCTTGTCTTTACCTTTGGCCTTTTCCTTAATCCACACCAACTTGTGCTTCTAATTAATGCTGCCGTTCTGTCACACTCCCTCTGTTCTTTTTACCTTTTAAAAAAAAATGATTAATTTTTTTTCCTCAATTTGTCTCTATATCACATTTATTATTGGCTTTGCTGAGGGCAGGATTTTGTCTTGTGTATTTTTGAGAAAAATTGATGAAGCCAGTTCTTCTGTATTTTTTTCAGATGTTACTTATAACTAAAGGTGCATGTGATCATCCAGTTTCCTAAGTTTCACTGCAAATTTTCATGGATTCTGTGGGACAAAAAGATTACTGATTGTATACTTAAGGCTGATACATGATTATTTTGGAGTCATTTGTGTGGCACTCTTTGAAGTGAACTATTACTGCATTTATAGCTAAAAGCTACCTCACTAATATTACTTAGAAACATTTGGTGCCTGGGAAGTATTTTGCCTCTGACAACATTTACAGTAGTTAAGCCAAATACAAGTGGGCTGTTATTTTCCTCCTAATGAGATGGGATCCTGGCCATCATTCTATTAAACAATAAAAGTGCTAATAGCCAATGTGAGGATCTCTGGTGTCTATTTTTCAGTTGACACCCGAAGAAATATTTGAAATGTTTATTTCCTATATTGTTTTTAGTTTTACAATGGTTTAATTAATCATGTGTTTAATTAGCAGTGTCTAGCTTACTTGAGAGAGCTCATTGTTAATATTGTACTTGGGTTTTAATTGCATTTTCTTTCTCTTTCCAGTGGCTTTTCATGGTCTCCCTGTGAAAATCAAGAAGGAACCCCATAGCCCATGTTCGGAACTTGGCTCCGCTTGCAGTCAAGAGCAACCATTCAAGTTCAGTTATGGGGAAAAGTGCCTGTACAATGTCAGGTAAAGCAGTCAGGAGCATGTTCGCAGTGAGAACTGCTGATTTAAATGGGAACTGAGTAAAGAGTAATAAATCCATAATAGAGATCTTATAAAAGTTACCTCTTCAGCAGATAACAGACTGATGAGATAATGCATTTAGCTGATGAACACGGATGGAGTTGTTTACAGTTGTACCAAACACTTACATAACCATTTTAAAGCAGCGTTTTTTATCAAAATGCATATTCCCCATTCCTTCTCCATGGGAGACAGCCAGAGTTTAAAAACCCAGGGTGCAAGCGTGAAACAGAAGAAAGGAGTGTCTTGTTTTCTGTGAGTTGTGTTGAAAGTGCTTTCAAAATGCATTACACACATTAGGAAAGAGAGAGAGATTTGTGTAACAGGCAAGAAATTGGCAGCTCTGAGCAGCACATTATTTATTTGACAAGTTTTGCAGATGTTACATGTGTGTATTTGTGGGTGATTACAATTTAAAATAGTATTTCGTTAGGTTCTGCATCTTTGTTACCTATTCAAAAGCAAGTTGCCTCCTTTTATAGGGTTAGATAATAAAAGATTTATGTATTTGTGGGTGGTGGAGGGGCTTGATACCACTGCATTCTATATTGACTTTCTTTTGGTTTGCACTTACGTGTCACTCCTTTTAGTGTCAGCTTTGAAGGGTTTCTTATTGACATTTCAGTGTATTTTAGCATCTTTCATCTAGCACTTAAAGCATTTACATTTACCTTTTTGGATATGAAAGGGGGGGAAGAAAAAAAAAAAAGTCTGACAGAACCTTTGCCAGTCATAGAGGCATGATTTTGATTTCAAAAATCAAATGCATACATTGATGGATTTGATGGGAGCTAGGGGACCTGACAGGAAATTACGCAAGTTCGTGCTTACTATCTGCCTAACGTCTGCATTTTTCTTGTTTAGAAAGAGGGATGTGCAAAGTGTGCCCAAGTCCTTTCTTGATTTGGGACACCTTTGACAATAGCATCTATGTGTTTGTAGGACCCGCACTTTATTTTTGAGAGGGAGAGGAAAAAAAACCCAAACTGTCGAGAGAGGCTGCTGACATGCTGGTGTGGGATGCTAAGCCAACATACCATTGTTTTTCTGGGTCAGATCCCTTCCCTCTAGCTGTATTGTTTTACTGTCTCACTTTGTGGTTTGTGCAGGCTCTAAAAAAGAGTCTCGACAGGCACTGCCAGCTCTTCGTGCTCTAGTCCAGGTGCTTCTACTTCTATGTATTTTGTGTATCTCCTGTTAGAATGTCACCGTAAGACTGAATCATTTAAAAATACATTTCCATGCTCCAAAGAAGAAAACACTGTGTTGAACCACTTGCTTCTAACATAATTTTTTTCTGTGCTGTCACAATGTAAAGTAGAGAATTCCTCTGCCCCAAACTGGTTAATAAGGTAACTATAGTTAAAAAAACTTACAAGTGTGACACTTTTTTTTTTCTGGATGTAGATGCTACTTTTTTTTTTTTCCCCAGAGAAAATAACCTGACCTTCTTTCCCCTTGCCTTACTGATAGTGCCTATGATCAGAAGCCACAAGTGGGAATGAGGCCCTCCAACCCACCAACGCCATCCAGCACTCCTGTGTCACCGCTGCACCATGCCTCCCCAAACTCAGCTCAGACTCCTAAACCTGACCGGGTTTTCCCTACCCATCTCCCTCCATCCCAGTCCATTCAAGACAACAGCTTCCCTATGGACCACAGGTAAAACACAAAATGCGCGATGGACCCATGCAGAAGGCATTTCAGTTATGGTCACAAGTCTCTTCCATAGGGTAACACTGGCTTCCTGCCCACAGCTATTCCCTTTTGGGTTGGGGGACCAAGGAAAAGCCAAAACGGTTCAGAGTGTCAGAAATATGTGTTTTATGAAAGGCTGGTACCCGACTTGATGGACTTCAGTAGGAGTTCATATTGGCAGCGGCAGAGTTTTAATGACCTGCTGCTTCTCTCTGGTAAGGGTGATTACAGGGTGCTGGATAATCTCCTCTAGGCTCCCTTTCCCATGAAAGGCTGGACCAGATGGTCTTTCAAGGTCCCTTCCAACCTGGGCTATTCTGTTACTCTATGACTGACTTGAGGCTAGTAAGCCCTGTGAGGTAGTGAAGTCACTAGCAAGCGTGATCCTGGCTATAAATGTCTGGCCTCTTGCTAAGCAATTCACCTAAGAGATAAGTGGCCATGTTATGGTGTTGCTGCCTCAGAATACTCTTTGGAAGGCTGGATCATTTCTCCAACCCCTTTTGAAATACAGCATTTCAAACAAACTAAGATGCCAACGTAAACTGTGCTTAAATAACATTAATCTGAGTAAAAGCCGCAAGAGCTAGAGACTAGAATTAAAGCTTAAACTGTCCTTAAGTCACCCTGTTCTGTTTTGGTACGTTAGAAATCCCCAGACAGCTGACTATCTATCTTAGCTCCGTTTTGCAACAGATATGCTCAGTGGATTTCTCTGATTTTTGAGACCAAACGCTTGTTTATGCAATTCTATTTATTCTTTATTGCATGAACCCGTTTTTGTCTGCTGTGTTGTGTGATTGCTCTGAGCATTTAAAATTTCAGCTGTATGTAAAGAGATGTATATGTTCGGAAACTCAACTTAGCGCTTAAACATTAGCAAATTAAGAAGCACCTGAAGAGAAAATCACAGTTATTGGGAGTGCAATTTGCATGCTTCCGCTCTAATAAGGGCTATTATCTCCAGGGATTTGTGCACATCACTTCTGAAGGGGGTTGCTAAGGTTTATATTGCTGTTTTGTGCTCTGCTGAGATAGTTTTAAATTTCACCCAAGGTTCTCTACAAGCCCTCCTGGTGGTGAGGAAACACTGAATTGGCCCCTTCAGCTGCCATAGTCACCATCCTTTTTTCCCTTTGTGGACAGTGGTCTAACCACACAGGCCCCCAGTGAAGCCAAGCAGCAGTTTTGATTACGGGATGGTGGATAAATGTGTTTCTGTATATACACCAAAGTCAAGTTGTCAGGAGACTGAAATCTCCAGAAGCTGAATGGCTTCTGTGCAGAGAGCAGTAATAAGATTTTTCGGGTGAAAAAAATGTTTTGTTTTAGAGCAACTCGGAAAGAGAGTACTGAAGCTATATCAGCCCTAATTTGAGTATTTATAGAGATTTGCATACACCTTAGTATATTTGTCTCTATCCAAAACACTTGCTCTGCACAAGCTTTGTAGGCTCTTTACATGATTCCCCCCCCCCGCCGTCTTTGATATTCATGTTCTTTAGGGAATTATGCACTAATGCTTTCCTTCTATGATAGAACATCATGTGTTCTAGTGAAGTCCAAAATAGTTGACTGAGGCCAAAAAGTCTCGGTTTTCTCCTTTTTTAAAGAAAGGTACAATTGCAGTGGAAGGTATTTTTCCCTACTTTGAATCTTCTCACTTCCAGTTGTTTGAAACAAATGTGTACTAAATATTTCTGTGAAATCAAATCTTACCCATTTACAAGGTGATATGCTACTACAATGAGTGTATTCAGAAAATGTCATTTAAACAAATGACCTACATACATGAGTTCATATATAAATCTATAGCTCAAGGCATATATCTTTGGAACATGCGTTGGTGGCATAAGATGGCATTAGTATCTAGAACATACAGCCCATATATCTTCATACAGGGCATGAATATATGAACGATAAGTGGTCCTAACAAGTACCAACAGGAATCAAATCCACTTGTATAAACAAATGGCTTGATTCCATACAAAGCTTCCAGTACAACAAGTATTATTAACTTCCTTTGAGGCTTTGTGAGTGAGCCTGTTTCTTATTTTAACTTCAAGTTGCAATTTTCTGATTCACTCCTTGACAGTTCTTAATGATAATTTCTGCTTCTTTTTTTGGCTAATGAAAAAAGGAAAAGAGGGAAATGAATGCAGTGCCAGTCAGCCTAACTGTTTCATAATACATTTGAGTTTCTAAGTTTATTTTCTGCAGGTGTAGGTGGAATTGCAAAACCCAATGTTACAGTGCAGTACTCTTTCTACTGCGAAATACAGTATTTACAGCAGCATTAAAAAAATTCATTTTGTCACCACTACTACATTGTAACAGTTTTAATCTCTGTAGCTCCCACAGTATTTGTAATTAAGCTATGACAGTAAATATTTGTCAGACCAAGTTCACAACAGTATTATGACAGACGTTAGTGGATTTTAAGTTGTTTCAGAAACATGTACTGCATACGTGTTGATAGTCAAGGATTGTATTGCCTGTGCAATCAAACCCCCAAATTCCTCTTCAGTCATCCAGTTTCCTCCAAGAGAATGTCTGCTTTTGCTTGCATGAACCAAAGTCAGTTCAGACCCAAAGTACAGGAAGCTGAGGAATGATTAGTTCTTGATTTTTTCAATATGAGAGTGAGGAACTTGCAGAGAACCTTACAGGTTTCTTTTTTTTTTTTTTTTTTTTTTTTTTGAAGTGTGTCATGTTCATGATGAGTGATAACAAGACTAGTAAGCAGTTTGTTGCAAGAACATTGCATCTGCTGTGGATTAGTGCAGACACAATACTACTACAGTGGTGGTTACCACTACTGTGGTAATCTGCAGGAGATGACAGGAAGACTCTGTGCAGTTCATCAGGGCACGGTGGGAAAATAGCATCTTTGTAATCTTCTCTGTGCTTCTGAACCTGCAGATGTCCAAGTAATTACATTCAGGCCTTTGAGTTCAGGAAGGTATGTTTTATGGAAGAAACAACAAGCATAGGTTCTCGAGTATTGTTGCGTATAAATTAAGTTAATTTAAAACTGAATTCTCAGATTTTATGCCTGCTGAAGAGCATTTGGGAGGAGTGAATGGCAGCGTGGCTTGTATTGATGACTTCTTTCATGTAGAATTGACCAAGGGTACAAGTTAAGGCGGGAGGGGAATTCTTAGTCTCTGTGTCTCTTAGCAAAAATTTGCATCCTCTCCTTTTTCTGGGGTGCTCTCATTCCCTTCCCATTAGAGCTGCAATGCAGTGCCAGCCTTGCAGGTAGATCTCCCACAGCACTACCCCGGCAGGGCAGAACTGTGGACTTTTACCCTGCAGTGATTCCCGATGTTATGGCAGACAGTCCTCTTTATTCAAAGTGTTTGTGTTTGTTGTGGTCAGAATGGTTTCCGTGTAACGGTAAGACTGATTAGAGTGAATTAGAGTACAAGCAATATGTTGCCAATACTCACGAAAGAGCAGAGAACTCCACCTAAGCCTCCTTCATGTTACTGTGGTAGGATGTCGGTCTCCGTACTGACGTCTGGTTTGGAGCTGGTGCGTTTCCTCTTTGCCGCTGCTGTTGAGGGACGATACTGAAAGCAAAGAGGATGGTGGTAGAGACAGGGCTTAGAACTGGTGTTAACAGGTGGGGTTTTTTGTTTCTTTGCTTGTTACTCTTCTACAACGCAAGGGATCCTGATGGGAGCACTTGGCATTATCATAAGCAAAATGTTTGCTACTGAGAAAGTGACATAACCACTAATCATGACTTGTGAAGATCTTTGGGAAATGGAATGTAGCTCAAGTCCTTTACATGACCTTTCTAACTTGTGTCCTAGATTTCGCCGCCAGCTCTCTGAACCTTGCAATTCTTTCCCACCTTTGCCTGCAATGCCAAGGGAAGGACGTCCAGTGTATCAGCGCCAGATGTCTGAGCCAAACATCCCTTTCCCGCCTCAAGGTTTTAAGCAGGAGTACCACGATCCCGTTTATGAACACAATGCTATGGTTGGCAGTGCAGCCAGTCAAAATTTTCCCCCTCCTCTGATGATTAAACAGGAACCTAGAGATTTTGCATATGATTCAGGTAGGTGAGACTCTGCTTTACTTCTGCATAGTAGGTAAATGAGTCCAAGCTAGTGCTATTGATGCTTTGAGCGTATGACTTGAAACTTGCTCTTTTAGCGTGTAAGTCTCCTGAAGTAATTTATGTCTGATATATGAAGTAGTTAGATTGCTGCATAGTACAGCGTATCTCATGACACCGTTGCTGTTGCTTGCTCTGTAAAGAATTCCGTTTTCCAGAACTCTCTGGCCAGACAGTGCACAGGTTAAAGAAGCCGGGGGAGAAAAAATCATGGGTGCAAAATTGAGCTTTGCTTCAGAGAGGGGTTGTTCTGTACTATGTCATCTCTGACCTCTGAATTTGTGTGCTCCGTTTTACGAGCTCTTTCATTTATCTGCCAGAAATAGAGGACTCTTTCTCCTCTTGCTTGCACTACTTTAAATCAGGAGTAACTCCGCTGAAGTGGGGTTTATACAGCTATAAAACCAATGAGGGAGAAGAATCAGCCAAATTGGTGTCAGCTTCTCAGTTTGTGCATACTGCTGTGTTTTGTGGAGGTACATAATCTGTGATGCCAGGTTGCTGATGTAGAGAATACGCTGTTGCTATTAATAATGTTTATTATGATTGTGCTTATAGGGCAACTGGAATGGATCCTTATTGCTCTACGGACAATACAAAACAGAGGAGGTGGTGGCAGAGCCAGCTCTCAATAGCTTCTGGTCAAAATAGAAAGATAAGCGGTAGAAAGGATAAACACATAAATTAAGGGAATAACAACGTAAATGTTTGCCACCATTTAAATACAATATTTGTATTCTTCTTGGGAAAAGAGAGAGAATAGGGAAAGAAAAAAGGAGTTTAGTGATGAGTACCAAGTAACAAGGAGAAGGAAGCTGGAGGTGGTATGGAGGGAGGCTGAAGTTAAACCAGCATGTAGCGGGCTAGGTAGGGTAAACAGTTGCTCAGTACCGAGCTGAGACAATACAATCGAAACACATTTTCCAGTTCCAGTGTAAGTGATTTCTGCAGCTACTCTTCAGTCTCTGCCTCTGTCCTGCTTCGTGTACGCCACAGGGCTGAAAGGGAGGGATTTCAGTGAGTCCTTACTATGCTGCCGGAGGAGGGTGCAGCGCTTTCGTACACACGCACCCCGAGTGGGGCAGGGGGGGTGGGTGGCCCTGGCTGACTTGGTCTGACTTTCTCTTCAGGGTGCTGCGTTACCTGCAGTGCTTTCCTGCTGGTTTAGCCTCTAGTTAGATGCTTTTGCAGTTTATTTCCCAAAGGCTACGTGGCAGCTGAGGTGAGGTCTCCTTTGAAAGTTTAGCCCATGGCAGACTAGCTTCCAATTTGATACAGTGGAGAATTTGGTTTTATTGTCCTTTCTGTAGCTAACTTAACATTGTCTGTTTAGTGGTCTCTTTTATGGTATCGTTGTTGTGAAGTGCCTGGTTCTGAATTTATCTCTTTGCTAGAGATACATTTGAATATATCCCCAGTGTTATAGCAGGGGAATTTGGAAAGTAGAGCTGCTTTCTCCTTTCTTACTCTTGACAAGAACCAATCCTTAGGTAACCTAATTTGCGTTGGGCCTATACAGGGAGGGGACCAAGAGTGATATACTTCTCCAAGTTGAAATAGAAGACAAGATGAAAATGAGCTCAGATTACAAGGCTTAGATCTAGAACTACACCTGTTCATTGATGAAGATTCTGAGATACGTTGCTTTGGCAGTCACGTGTCTTCAGTCTTACATAGCAGCATGGGAGAGACTGTCTGCATAGTTCACGTGGCAATGGATAATAAATAGGGGACTCCAGCTTCAGGCACTGCCAGTCCCTTGCAACCTTCACAAGCATCGTTATTCGTCCTGCTAAATTAAAGGGTGAAAAAAGGCTCTTTTGTAAGCATGCTTCATATTTGGCTAGGAAGTGGGATCTCCTTATTGCATACTATTACTTTAAATCTGAGTTGGCTGCTAGCATTTGTCTTTCTATGGAATATTCTTTATGGAAAAAAAAGGGAAGTTTTACTCTGAAAGGGAGATGGCAAACTTGTATTCAGTCTGGTCATGCCCTTTTTTTTTTTTTTTTTGTGCCAGCAAGAGCAACATTCCACTTCATAGTAATGATGTTCAAGCAAAATTGTTGTTTCTTTTGTAGATGAATAATTAGTTTTTAAAAATGTAATAGCTGTGTAACCAGCGGTCATGAAAAATTAATCTGTTGGTATCAGGAAGTACTTTTATTGGCCTCAGAATCACTGCATTTAAGTTGACACATCTGTACACTCCATAAATTGCAGTCAACAACTGTGGTCTGTTGATATTTTGTCTTGTTACCATCTGTTCTCTAGAAACCATCATTTTCCATCCTTGCTAAGAGTACATTAAATAACCCCTTAGGAAACATAATGTATTTGTCACTGAATCATTGATTTCATTTTTCACCTATGGATGTTCAGGGAAGAAGGAATGCCAGAGTGAAAAGTCTTTTTGCATGGTATTTTATTGCAGCTCAGATAAGAATATAGAAACATGTTTAAAAAGTTCATTGTAACACACCAAGATGTTCCTTTTGGGGTGTTTTTGAAAGAGCCTCATAAAAGTTCATTGCTTTTGTGCGCTGTACTTTTATACTTTGTGGGAAACTGGTGAATGAAAAGCATTATTATGGAATGATTATAACTCTATTAAAACATGACATTAATTATGACATGGGAAATGGCAGATCAATTAGTTGTAATTGTAATTGCAGGTATGCAATTTCTGCTGCAGAATGTTTGAGATAATGGAAAAAGAAAAATGTCAACAGAGTAGAAGCTCTTCCTTATCCATCCACACTTCTAGAAGTCCCAGTGCATCATACATGTTCAATCAGTCAGTCCTTATTTTCTGCCTCGTTTTTTTTTTTTCGTGGCTGCCAGTCAGATGTATGTAGTACTTGATGCTTTATCTAGCAACTTTAAGCACAAAGATGCAGCCAAGGACGTACAGAGCTTTGTGATTTTGCATCATTAATGAATACACCCCAGAAGGCTTCCCAAGGCCTTGGTTTACAAGGGTTAATAGTGTTTTTTTCATTCCTGTATAGTTAGCACTTCTAGAATTCAACACAAGGACCAAACTTGAGATGTTTCATCTATTCTGGGCTTTATTTTGAAGCAGGATGTTTGCAGGCTTGATCCTCCCTACCTAATGTAGTGTATTTGCAAATTTACTAAGGTACAACTCTAGCTATGCTTGTATCAATTTAATATTAAAAGTTTAGTTTTAAAATGACATCTTAAATTGTTAAGTTTAAATCTCTTACTCTGTTTTGCCAAATTGAAATAGTTGCTCTGGCTGGAAAGTTCTTCTGTGACCACGTCTTTGACTGGGAACTTTGAAACTTGTCACACAGTGATGTTAAGAGATAAGTATGGGAGGAATTATTGCTTGCATGTACTTACTACCAATTGCCAGGAATTTGTTGAAATATAGATAGATTCAGTCTTTCTTGAGCAGTTCAGAGGCATTAGCAGGGCTACTCTCACTGTTACATTGCAGGGTAGCCTCAAGTGATTAATACACTTGAATGGACCTTAGAAATCTAAATGATTCTGTCCCTGTCACTTCCAAAGCTTTCTTCCGAAATAATAATCACATCACTTAAAGAAGGAACTATCCAGGCAGAATTTTTAGGCTCTGTATCTTGCTTTCTGGGTTGCTCATCCTTTTAATTCCTGAGGCCTCAAAAGCAATAAATACCTTGTGTTGGCATGTTAGAATGGATGAGGAACTGCCCCTCCGTTGAGAGATGAGCGGAGACTGAGGGACACATCAGATGTATACAACTCCTTATTTTGGGTATCCAGTTAGGACTGGATAATTTTTAAAGAATATTATGTATTAGATATGCTCAAAGCTTAGCTCCTAGGGACTTCCTTTGTATTTCTAGGCGAGGAAGCACGGGAACATTATATGAGGGTGCCTGTGTAAGCACTGCAAAAATAAGAAATGCATATGAAAAGTCTGGCAGAAGCAATGAGATTACTTTGGAAAACTTTGTTTGGGGTGGAACAGACTTTGTTGGGGCCTAAAACTGACCATTTGGCTGTATTAATCTTGAAGTCGTATTTTCCTTTCTTGGAATGTTCTGCCTCATTAAGTACACAACTTCCAGCCTCTCTAACAAATGAAACAGGGGCTCCACCTGCAAAGCTGTTTACTGCATGGCTCTCCCTCCCCCAAACAGTTTTGACCTGTGCACTCAAGAGACAAGAGTGCCGAGGCAAAAGGCTGTATCATAATTTATTTGCAGAAAAGGAGTTGTATCAATGTTGCCCAGAAAGTTGTAATTATGAGCCTTCTTAACATGCCAAGTTTTCTCTCGTAGATACAGGATGTTGTTAGCATTCTATCATCCATGTTATAAGTGTGTATTTACCTAATGATTGGGAACAGAATAAAAAGCAAGAGTCCTCTCTAATATCTGATGTGGTGTTTTTTTGAAAAGCAAATCAATGCAAATTAATGTGGAAAAAGCTCCCTAGCAGCACATTCTTCTCTAGAGTTCAGCTGACATGTCCTTAAATTTCAGAGTTTGCAAAACAGCATAAGAGAATGTGTTGAATTAAAATTTCAAGGGAACAAAATAAATTTACTTCTTGGAAGTATATTTGTTTGCAGTTTGGTTTTTTCCTTTCCTTTTTTTAAACAACAGTTGGATATTCTATTGTACTTCTTGGAGGTAAACTTCAGACATTTGGAGATGCTAGTATGAAGGAAAAAAGGAAATCCGAGCTGTCAGTCAGAGTCAGTGCAGGTTTGCTTTTTCCAGGATATTCTTTGGTGCATTGACCAGTGCAGCATTTAAAATGACACAACTCATAGTGCTTCTACTACTGTCTTTAATTATATTGGCTAATTTTTGCACAGTGCTTTGAAAACATAAAGCACTGTATGAGTGCTAAGTATTATTACTACAATTATTCCCCTAGGAGATTATTTCCCAGACTAATAGACTTCACAGTTAAATATT